TTGGATCAAATACAAACAAGAAGCAAACTATACCAACCGAGCGACTGCCACTTGTCGGTGAAGTTAGTGCCAACTTTAATGGATAGAGGGTGTTGCGTGGTCAGCACAATGAATCCCTATGACCATTAATTTCGGTTTTCTAGATCAGAGCCACCATTTACTTGAAATAGCTCCTCAATTATCCTCATGAGGCTGAGTGGACCACATTCCAGACTCACTACTTCTCGGAAAATCTGACAGCGCCGAGAATCAAACCTGGGCCTCTGGATCTGCAGCCAGGAACTCTTACTATTAGACCACAGATGTGGTCAAGTACTTCAATGAAATGATGAGCCTAAAACTTCATGCAGCCCTAAGTCTTCAGGTAATAAGTACTCTTTTTGTATGGATGGTAACTCAAATCCTTATTCAAATATTTCAAACATTCATATTTGAAATTTCTAAAGAAAACAAATTTTACATTACCAACCAGGAGTGATTTTGTTGCACTGCATTTCTCTCTCTTTCAATGTTCTCTGGTATACAAACTGAGTTTCGCAGCAAAGGTCCACAAACACAAAAGTCATGCACCCTCTTTAAAACTTTATCCTGCTTTGGAATTCTTCAATGCCCTGGCACATCAAATTCTATTTCTATAAATTCTCTCTGTTTGCAGTCCACTCAAAAACAAAAGTTTCAACAGTAAACACATGTTCATTCAAGAGCCAATTTGTCAAAATTGCTGAAACTGTGTAACCTTATAAAAGGACTCATACATTTACAACTTCCCCTTCTACAGTAGCACAATCTTAAACACTTGATTCCACTGGCAGAGCCTGTGCATGAACATTAAAGGCATAAGGTTTCAATGAACTGAATTATGCTTGTACACATCATTAAATTCTCATAACTTGAGAAACAAAAAAATAAAATTTGACATCAGTTCTTGCTTTTACCTGTTCTTTCTAAGTAGCTGCTTTTCTTAACATATTTAAATATTAGGAATCCTGGTACAAAGATGGTAGCATATCCAAGTATGTTCAGGCAGAGTCGAAACAGCCAGCTGCCTTCAAAGCTTGAGAGTATAGCCGTATCACCTTTTAAATCCACTACTGAACGGAGTATTTGAGTAATTATGTACACAACAGCTACTGTGCCCAAGAACAACAAGCTGAAACATAAAATACCTCTTTCATTACGGAAATATTTTCAACTAAGTCAGAGGTATTTAAGAAGCAGTACCTAAGCAACTAACTAACTACATGGAGCTCAGTTCTTTTATAGATGCCAATAACTGCTCAGCCAGTCAAGAAATTCCCAGCATTTTATGGAACCCAAAGTCTCATTACCATTTTTCAGCAGCATACCAGTAGTCTCTGTCCTGAGTCAAATGAATCAAGTTCACACTCACCTATGCTATTTCTTTAATAAAAATTGTAATAGTAGCCTCCCATCTACATTCACATCCTCCCTGTTGTCTCTTTCCTTCAGATTTTCCAACTAAAACTCTGTTATGTGCTTCTCTTTTCTCATATGTGCTACATGCTCTGCCCATCTCATGTGCCTTAGTTTGATCATTGTAATACTACTTTGAGAGGAGTAAACAGTATGAAGCTCCTCATTATACAATTTCCTCCATTCTCTTACTATTTCATCCCTTTTAATTTTAAATATTGTTCTCAGCACCCCCTCTGAAACTCTGTGTAACATTTTGTAACAAGCTCCATCCACAACATCCAAGCTGGAGGGCCACTCCTTGTTGGCTGTCTGAAATAGTTTATTCAATATGTTCACAGCAACAATTCAATATTTCATGCAGTAAAATTAAATTTAAAAGGAAAAAATATTTGTAGTCAATTATACACGGCCCACAAGATATTAATGATTTAGTACCAGTGACAAGATTATGCATCATACTTCAAAAATCATAATGAGAAATAAAATTACATAAGAACAACAGTACACATTACATTTTAATTAGACCCTATCATTACTGTTTCTTCCCCAGTAAATGAATTATGAACATGGTAGTGCCTTGTATGTGAAAGATTCTGAATCAAAACCTATGCCTGCATCTCTAATTACATAACACATGATGTTCATCTCACTAGCCATGAGCATTCCAAACTCACTTGTGGGATGTCAATGTATGAAGAGACAACCACTTGTTGAACTGTTCCGTAAACATTTATTATAGTTGCACAGTATACACAGATGAACTTCGGTTTGAAGAACTGAAGACTAATAGTATAGTACCAACAATACTACTGCTTGCAACGCCCACACACCTCTGCTCTCCTCAATATCAAAGTCAAAGTCGCATTGCGACTGATAGGCAGTCAGTAAGTCTTGGTGTCAAGCCTCACCTGGGGCTCATGACCAGATAATAATTACTGTTTGACAGTTAGTCTTGTTTTTGTGGGGCGTCCTCTCTGATGAGAGGATGGGTCTGTCTTTTGTATATACATCCACTTGTTGCCATATAAAATTACCTTCAGCCTTCTTGGAAAGGAACTACTGCAGTGAAAATTATGTGAAATGCAAGGGTGATACCAAGAGTCAGCTTACTTACTTACATCTACGAATGTCATTAACTAGAATTCGAGGGCCATTAGTGGTTATCAGGCAATCTGGGAAACACAGTTCTACATACTCTACACATTTTTCATCTAGACAATGACGCCAATAACGAAATATAACACTCCCATATAAAGTAGAAGTGACATTCGTTGGTCTTTAAAGCTGCAGATTTCATGAAACTGACAATTTAAACATCTTACCATTCCCTCAACGCGATTATAATGATGCATATTTCTAGTTCTCTTGTTATACAACTTAAGGCATTGGTACTAAAATACCAGTGCAACTAACGAACGCACTACTATTAACGTAACTTTAACTTACCAAATAATAACCTCATGCGTTCTGTGTATCATTATGACATGCATTCAGTTCACCTTTTTACAAATATTAAAATTAAAAATTAAAGGGTTTAAAATAACCTAACATTACACTCGCGGATGAACATGTACACCTCTCACACGCATCTTTCATAATGGCTAATGTCATGAGTAGTTTTCGTAATGTTCGTGTATGTATGACAAAGATTCTGTTTCACATATCATGCGATAAATAAGGCATTTGTGTAGTGATCAGCATTAATTTTGTATCAAAGTTCATTTCTACAACTTTAACCTAACCTCCATCTTCTTTAAGAATCAACATGCACCAACATTTAATTCTAATCCGTGACACAACGTGAAGTCATCCGTGTTTACTTGGCTTTGTAAGGAATGTGCATACCGTGCATACGATCCTTCTCCTGGGGCCAGGCTGGTGAACCGTGGTGTCTGTCCGTACCCTCCTCTCGTTTGCCCCTGAGCACTCTACTACACCATCAATCAAGCGACAGGTTTTTCAATATATGTATGAACTGATGAAATTAGGTCCGTACGAGTCATGGTTTGTACTGCAAATGAGCCTTCCCACTCCTAGCAAAGAGAAACATACAGCTGACCTCACTGAAATATGAGAAAGTAAAATATTCAGAATTCCTATGTGTTTGTATTTTGGACATCTGACAGTGAGATCTTCAAACCGCTTCAAACTACTTGAACCATGTATGCGGTAGACAACTAATACCAATTTTTCACGAAATAAATCGCATGTTTGCTCATCTGACCCAACAACTCAACACCTTCCTTCTAAGCCCTTTCTTGTTACCTGGTTGTGAACATGAACATAAAAAAACAGGGGAACGCACTCCAGAAACACCATAGGGATGAACCAAGGCCAACACTGTGGATTGTGATGACTTGACTGATTGACTGAGCCCTATACTCTGCAGTGCGACGGGACGTCGCTGAGTATGACTTGAGCCACCATCCTATCTGTTGTATGTGCTGGAAGCAGCTGATAGCTTCTTCCTCTGTTCATAAATACAATGTGTGATAAGACTCCCTTCCCATGTTGAGGTGAGTTAGAAAAAATCCATTGCAGCCCTAGAGCCATACAAGGCATCAAAAAGGGAATCTGGCACATGGGGGTATAACTAGACCACCATGTTACTGGGGGACATGCTGCAAGGCTGATGACCTTGCTCTGTAAAAACATTACCATTGCAAAATCCTAAGATGTGAAAACTGGATGCAATCTGACAGCATCTTCTAAGCCAGGCCATGGTATGAAATTGGCTGTTTTGCTGATAATGATGACTAAGACTGTCATCACTTCAACTCCAGGTGACTGAGACAGTCCCTGAAATATTTGACAGACAGACATGATCTTCTGACTATGCCTTGCTTTATTTTTGTGCAAGTAACAATAAAAAGGAAAATAAGTATACAAGAGCAAAGAAACTAATGGAAGAAGAGATAGATGTATTATATGCAAAGTTAACTCAGATAAATGTTTCATCCTCAGATGGCAGCGAGATTTCTATTCTGTCAAAAGGACAAAGTGCCTGCATGTAACAGACTTCTGCTAATATTATGTCTCATATTTCTGTATCTTACATAAACTGGGGGGGGGGGGGGGGGATTATAATTCCACATAATATTGCAGTGCACTATGCTTTGTGTGTAAGATCAACATGAGACTGTAATAAACCATATGTAATGTGGAACAATAATTCAGTTTGAATCATCTTATTCCTTTGATTACCATCAGATATCTTTTAAGCTTTACAAGAATTTCAATAAAAGTGAATCTAAGTCAGCAGCTTTTGATAACTTGAAAGTAATACCTTCATAAAGGCTTCAGCTGGGGAAGATGTCAAGAACAAGATTAATAATGTCAGACATGTTTACTGAGGGTCAAACCAGTTGCTGGAGAAAATGAAATTATAGCTCTTTAATATTGGTGAAATTTCTAAAATATAAAATATTTATCAACAAATGCCTAACTAATATACTGTGGTATGCCTTCTGAAAGACAGAATTGTGAAGCCACAGACAGCCATTGAAAGGCAACAGCTCCATAAACACACCTATTGCTAGGCAATGGCTCAGTGCCAGTCACATGAAGGCTGCAACAAACGCACACAATAGAAGAGCTGTTGGAAGCAGTGTTTTCTGTGTGGTCTATGCCAAGGCTACATAACATGGACCAGTAGAGTCAGAGTCCAAAGAGGAATTCCAACCCATGTGGAGGTGGGGGTCGAATACCTCCACCGTGACCCTGCGAGTCGTAGGAGGCGACGAAAAGGGAAGTCTCAAATTTGAGAGAGTACTATATGATCTCGAGTACCAAGGGACTCGGACCCGAGAAATACTGCGCTGGCAAGGGCCAGGAGCATATACATAAGACAGACCCGTCCTCTCATCAGAGAGGGCGCCCACAGAAACAAGACCGTAACTGTCAAACAGTAATAAATATCTGGTTATGAGCACCAGGAGGGTGCTTGACACCAAGATTTACTGACTGACTGGCTGTCAGTCGCAATGTGACTTTGACTTTGACATTGACAGAGTCCAGAGCCCACAGGAACAGGAATGTCTGCAGTTGAAGCCACTACCAAGCAATGCAGTGAAGACAGTGACTGAGAACATTAGTCTGTGTGCAACAGTGATCTGTATAGAATGCAGCAATGAGTGGTGTGTTAAAGTGTCCAGTAAATCCAATTACCAGTCCAAACCCTGTAGTATGTAGTCACTCCATCATGTGACAATATATTAGGAATGTATACTAGGAACATAAAGCTTGTTCCCCCCTCTAATCCAAGATATGGACTGGACTGGACATATCCACAAAAGATGAAGTAAATATAACATGCTACAGCAAGCTTCTGAAGGTAAGAATTAGAGATGAGTCATTAGAGCTTATGACCAGGACAATGGCTTCACAGATTTTCCTTCTGATGATAATTCATTATGTACAGCAATAAAAGGCACATTTTTCAAAAGTTCTAATGTCAAAATTAATTTGAATGTAGCTTTCCCTAAAAATGATAAGTGGTCAGTACTGTGGTTGGCTTCTTCCCACATGCACCAGCAGAAGAATGTTATGGATTAAGCAAATTAGGCAGGTTCTAATATCTAATAACATGGCTACTAATTACATTTGATTTATTAGAATGTTTTTCTCTATAATACATTACATCAGTTCCCTACAAACACACCCATCATGAACCTACTACTATAGGAAAAGACCAGAATGTAATATTGCTATCAGTCTATATTATAATACAGAAATATACAGTACATTCTGTACTGTACCATACTTGGTAAGGTGATACAGTATTTAAAAATACAATGAAGCCTAGTCTTAGCAAATCACAGCATGGTTTTAATATCAAGTTTCTTTTAAACTTATAATTATGATACCACTTTTTGTGATATGGAAAGCCAATCTGTCATAGACTGGCTCCACTGTATCAAATATTGATTCCATATTAATAATCACTACTCCATCTAGAGTATAATTTTCACCCTGCTTATTGATGTGAGCATCACAGTCAACTGCAAACTGTCTAATAAATGTCATATAAATATCCTGTTGAGCTAAAATGTAAATAAATACATACAGTGGAAAAGGGGGGAGTAATAATTAATATACTAAAGTGTGTCACTAAGTTTCACTGCTAAGGCATTTATATAAAAGAAGAAACCAACAGGTACTAAAGTGTGTCACTAAGTTTCACTGCTAAGGCATTTATATAAAAGAAGAAACCAACAGGTATCACAAACAAATGAGTTTACCAGTCAGAGGTTGCACCATGTGAAACACAGTGAACATGCTTATAAACCAAGGTATGAAATATAAATTGTACAGTAATGGAAATGGATAGAATTGTATGTTGGTATCATTAATGAACTTCCATCCAAAATGTAATAAGCCTTCATACTTACTCCTTCATGTTACTAGAAGTCCTAAAATGTCATCACAAAATAAGTTTCATGTATGCATTACCTGGATTCTAACATGTGATATGGGTTATCTGAATTACAGATTGAAAAAAAATTAGAAGAAAATATATCACAGTGTTTAAATGGAATTCTCTAGAAAGCCACAAAGCCTTTTCCTACTAAGATACCTATTTTGACACAATTTATTGATATACACCTGTCACACTTATGGACTGATAATAGAACTATTACACATTGCTGGTATTTTTAATTTCTATGGTATGTTCCAGTTCTGTGGAACCGATATCCTGTGGATGGTCACTACACTAATTATAAACATAACGGCCAATTTTGCAGTGCTTTAATTCATAATGTTGCATGGGTAGGGTTAGAAGCAATGTGTCAAGCAATACTGCCCCCTTCTTCTGAAAAGAAATAGACCTTGGTTGGCTGAGATACTGCACAAACTATGCAAGGATAAAATTAGGTGGAACTAGAAAACTGAACTCAGTCTGCGCTTACAAGTACAATGAAGCATTCGTGTATGGTAAAAAAGTATGATGTTCTCAGTGTGGTGAAACTGGGTGCTGATCTCAGTGAGTTAACTCAATCTATGAACAATGAAGGTGTAACATTAACTTCTGTGGATATATTAGTATTTGGCAGTGGCTCTAATGAACTTGATAAGCGAAAATCTAAAACAGCTACCAAACTAATTACTAATGTTGTTACATCAAATAATCATATGAATATCATTCTTCTAAGTATTCCTCAACGTTATGATTTACAAAATTACTCACGGTAACGTTCCCACCTCATGACTCGTGGTACGCGGGTTCAAACCCGGTGGAGGTCGTGGAATTTTTAAGGGCAGAAAAATTCAGGGAACAAGTCCTCCAGGAGGGACTTTAAGCCGTGGGTCCCGTGTCGTAGCTTTATGGCATGTAAAAGAACCTCATATCTCCAAAGGAGGTGACTGAGCTAAATTCAAGGACATTTCCCGCCCAACAGTAGTCTCTAACACCTCTGATAGATGGGGGAAGCATTATAGATACCGCTAAGCCAGTAGAGGCCGAACTCGCTGGCTCGGTCGGGACTGATAGTACGCACCAGTATTGGTAGGGTATAGAGACTGGTAGAATATCATAGAGGGAAGCACAATGGACCAATACGGGTCTCAGTACATGGGGAAACCCACCCTCTCCAATAACTAACTAACTAAGCTTGGAAAAGCTCATCTTGCAAAGCAAATAGCATCTACTGTACAGTAATTGTTTGGAAAAAAAAAAAAAAAAGACAAACCCTCCCCTTGTAGTGGGCTGGCTATCTAACACATCAGTTCTTAATGACCCTTTGTAACAGACACCTCTATTGAGACTACTGCTGTCCAGAGTAAGAATACTCATATGTTGGTATCATGTAATGATAATTGGTCTAATAGGACTTCAAAGAGAATTAAGAAACTTCCTAGGATGAGGACAAACGATTTTTTATGGCAAATATAAATTTTAAAGTCAGTAATGATCCATTTAGTCCACTCCAATCAAACTTAATGAGAAATAAAATGAATAATAATATTAGCTTAAATAAGACAAATCAAGATAATATAAAAAGAAATGCCTCCAAAAAAAATTCTAGTCTATTGATTTACCATCAGAATATCAGAGGGATAAATAATAAAATTGAGGAATTACTTAGCCAATGGGAATCTAAATTACCCCATGTGTTTCCAATCCATCCCATCCCATCCAATCTCTCTAAGATCCATTTTAATATTGTCCACCCACCTATGCCTTGGTCTTCCCAGTGGTCTCTTTCCTTCTGGCTTTCGCCCCAATATCCTATTATATGCAGTCCTCATCTCCCATTCGTGCTACACGCCCTGCCCATGCCATCCTCCTTGACTTGATCATTCTAATTATACTTGGAGAAGAGTACAAGTTATGAAGCTCCTCATTATGCACTTTTCTCCAACCTCCTGTCACTTCATCATCTCCCTTCAGTCCAAATATTCTCCTCAACACCCTCAGAACTGGAATATCCACATTTTGAATTAAGATGTCCCTGTGCTTAACTAACTAAACACTATCCCATGAAGACGTATCAGGAAGTGGATGTATAGGTCTATGTATCCTTGACCTCAGCACTAGTTGGAGGTGAATGGTCATTACATGCACTGGTCATTTTACCTCCGGGGGAAAGAACCCCTGATTCCCATTGGATAGGAGGCTAGGTGGGCCTCAGAACTGGTCTGGACGACATGGACAGGAGAAGAATCTTGCCCATACTGGGACTTGAACTCCATCCTCTTGGCTGTCCAGCATGTAGCCAGTCAATATACTGACTGTGCTATCCTGGTTCCCCACATTTCAATTAAACTTAAGAAAAACATCACCCAACCAGCCCTTCCATATATATACACATGTTCAAAACCCAATTCTTATATGAGAAACATCCCAATATCAGTAATAAGACAGTTCTGACATCTCATGAGTGTCCAGGTCATATCAAAATGCTATTCCTGGAAAATATTGTCATGTGTTGGGTGTATAACACAACAAGTAACTTCACGCCTTATTGGATATAGCGAATTTTATTCCACACTCGCTCTTACAATCACACAATTTACAGATTCACAACTACTGCTGTCTGCAGTATTACAATTACTGGACTGCATACTCTTCCCTAGCCAACTAGTAACTCATAACTGCTGCCTTGAGAACACACTTCGGCGACTGATACTCTTAAGTAAGTAAGTCCAATCCCACTTCTAACACCAGTACTCATGAGTAAGCCAGGAAGTCAACCAGTCAATTGTAGTCTAGCATTTGCAGTCTAGTATTTGTGATACTGCCGATGGCAGTAATGTTGAGATTGTAAACTGTGTGACTGTAAGAGCGAATGTGAAATAAAATTCGCTATATTCAATACGGCGTGAAGTTATTTGTCGCGTTATACACCCAACATGTGACAATATCACCACAGTGCCGTGAATTTTTAAATCTTCATCAGTCTTCTGTTCTGAAACATCTAATAATGTGAAAAATTTTAACTACTAAACATTTTATGCATAGAATAAGACAGATATTTAATAATATTATTCCTCTAATTCCCTACATTTACTTGAATTGTTAAACTATTTTCTGTTTCTATTTTATTTTATAATCAAATACATAAAAAATTCAGTGATGGATCCAGCACTAGATAATATCAATTAACCTAAGAATAAACTAGCTTGTAATTTACATATTGACTGTCCACCTGCTGATGGTTGCAAAAAAAACTGAAACACGCAGCAGAAATAAAGAATACCAGCAAAATATAAGTATCATTACAAACTATTTTGTGTCATGGGTATACGTGAACAAATTCCGTCAAAAACAGGATGTGACTTAAGAAAACATTAAGTCAACTCTTGTCATTCACACTCCCTTTCTTTTTGTGCCACAAAAAAAATTTAAGGTGTCATGATATCAAAATGTACACATGTATACAACTTAAAACTTAAAGTGTTGAACAAATTTTATGTAGTAAGCATGAAAAAATATAAGAACTTTCAGTCCTCCAATACAAAATGTTAGGTCATGTTGAAGATTAAAATAATGACACTTGCTGCTGTCTTCAGTGCCTTTATCCTGAACTGTCAAAATGTACACAAATAAAATAGAAGATTAATATCATTATGCTATTCTGTTTCAGTTCTTCTCAATGTGCTTGTGGATATTTACAATATAATTAATCAATAAAGAATTACTGCCTGAAATATGTTTAGTTCACAACCCTGTCATGCACCTAGAAATTTCATATTCTGAATGTGGAAATCCTAATTCCATGTCTGATATGAACAATAATTAATGGTTTGCTGTACCTAACAAAGTACAGCAAAGTGTAAGGAAACATACCCTTAATATCCATGAATAACGGTTTTATTTACTACATAAATTCAGAAGTCCAATAAACTTATGATCATCTATCTTGGGATGTTTTTGGATTAAGCAGTTTAATATTACAGTGAATGTTAATTCAAATCAATTAGCAAATTAGAATTTTTAAACATGCTTGTATAAAGATCCAGATTTTATTAAGCCTTTGTTTTTCATACATTCTTAAAATTTGAGCTTACTTTCCACACTTAGAAAAATCTATGTTCACTCAACTGAAGGTCCTTACATGAAAGCTTCACTGCTTCAAGCCTGATTATCCTTCAAACCCTTATAACCTCATTATTCATCATTTTAACACGATATTTTATTGCTGAACAGATTATCTCTTGGCTACTAAATATTATAATTCTGTTCTCCCTGTGCTGTATGCTGTCATAAGATCAAATATTGTTTATTTTCCATTCGGAATCATATTACAATTTCTTTCTCTCACACAAATACCAAATGCAAATGGTTAATTCTGCAAAATTTGTGCAACCTTCACAGAACATGCAATGAAATAAGTCACTAATCGTATATCAATATTATTTTGGGCACTGTCCTTTGTCTAAATTGTATCCAAGAAACATGACATTTTGGGAGCTCAGTCTACTCCCATTTTCATGTGATGGGTACAAATAAAACTGACAGAATAATGACAACCGATCAACTGAAGAGGAGACCCGAAACAATTCCAATAAATGTTGTGTATAAAGTATACCTCACACAACAGACAGTGTCCTGTGTATACTGGTATAATGAATCAGTTACTGCCACAAACCTTTAGAGAATCATGTTACCATAATGAATGAATGGTTCTTCAACTCCATTTCCATCACTGCCAACTGCCAAAAGAATAATATGACACAGGGGAATGAGGAAGGCTTTGACTAGTTAAGGAAGAGCAGGTCATCATGAGGACTGAAACCTGTGAGTATCTGATTTCACACAAACTTGTCTTCTTTCCTTTACTTAATATTTACATTGTTTTTGACTAAGTACCTCCAGTTTACTGTCACTTTCAAAGACGTGCAAAGGATGGGAATGTAAATACTGAGAAGAATAAAGGCAAACAGTCATTAACAGCTGGACTATCATGGATAAAATACTTACAGAAGGGGAATGTGATAAAACTATGAAATCCACGCCTTCTTGGTAGACTAATTTAAAGGTCTAATGATTCTTAAAGTTAAAATGGAATAAAATAGTGCCATTTTCAACTACACATTAAATTATTTTCTACCATTATTCTCCTCAAATATAAATAAATCATATAACTGCCACCTGCACCAAAGTAAACAACTATACCATGTATAAGTTCAGGATTCTGAATTAGGGCAGTACTATCCTTGCTCTGCCAGACAGGTGGCTGATTCATCTCTCCCAACATCACATTTTCTCTTTATGACATCTCTGTGACTTAAAGAGGATTTTTTATTTCAGTTTGTTTAGCAACGCTGTGCTGTTTTAATACTATCTATCATATTATTAATCTCCAATAATAAATACATTTGCAGGTTAAGAAAAGAAAGAAAGAAAGAAAGAAAGAAAGAAAGAAAGAAAAAGAAGAAATACTGAGGTAACTGAAAAGGTATAAGTTAGGGCTCCCAATAGATTAATATTTTGAATTAAATAATTTCTTATAATTAATAAATACTGACTAAATAGCTTACACACATCAATAAGGAATGAAATGAATGGGAAAACATTAAGTTTGGCAGTTGGTATCTATGACAGAATTAAAGAAGTTGTACTTCTCAAAACTGGCCCATTAACAAAGCTTGTGCCGCTTCTGGTAGCTTTATTCTGCATTCTCACAATATGGTAATGTTTTATCTGTCTACGATGTGAAGTTACTGAAGTCAGTTTTAAGTTTAATTGTTGGAGTTTGGGTTGACAGTGGCTTGGCAGTGCTTGACTCCACCCTGGCTCTCAGTTGAGCCTGCTGACTGGACCGCACAGCCGCTTCTAATTTGCTTCTCAGTTCACCAGACTGTGACATCAGTGCCTTGAACTCCTGGACAAGCAATAAGAAAAGTACACAACTGCTTTTTGAAGTCCACAGTAATGTGATATCATTCCTAAATGTATTAATTAAAGAGCAGAACCAGGGCAGTAGTTTTCCACTCAGTTAAGGAGTACAGTATGCCTCAGGGAATTTCATAATGTATATTATCACAACAGATTCACAGCCTACTTGGATACATATGAAGACTATTCAAAAAGTAACCTCTGTTTATTTGAGGCAACTGATGTAGGAGTGGAGGAGAGATCATGCATGAGAGGTAGCGTTATATTAGTCATTGCCCTGTAAACCATCATATAAATGGTAACCTAGTGTTTGTTCTTGTCTCTACAGAGTGAGTTATGATGTGTCCTGCAACTGATAATGCATACATACAGTATGTATATGTATACAGTATACATAGATACATAATTTCACAGATCCATTGTCCGGAAACTGGACCGGATATTGAATTCGTCAGCAAAATGACATTGCAAAATGCAATCTAGTCTCAACAATTAAAATATTCAAGAATTATAAAATGAAAAATATAATAATAAAATAAAAAGCAGTCATATAACAAATCTAGATAATACATAATCTTGGAAAGACAACAATAATGTATTATGCTTGCCTGTATGCCATGTATTCATCTACCGAATAAAATGCATTTAAAATAAGATAATCTTTTAGCCTTTGTTTAAAAGTATTAATATTGTCTTTCAAAGAATATATATTGTATGGCAAGTTATTAAATATTCTAATGGATGAAAAATGCACACTCTTTTGAATGGAAGATAATCTCACAAAGGAAACATGTAGTTTATTATGCCACCTAGTACTTAATTTGTGTATGCCATTATTCACCTGATACATATCAGGATTTTTGAGTACAAACAAGACTATGGAATATATATATAAACAGG